GTGTTATCCGCAGTTACACTTTGTATGTCGCTTCACAAGAGTGTATGAACCAAAATGAGAGTAGGCGGAGCATACCCCTGTTGGCCTTTCTCTACCATCATTCTATATCATTATTTGCTAATATGTGTGATATGGATCTCAGTTTTCATTCTATCATAATTAAATGCAATGTTAAGTAGACTTGAGTCTCTATGGTATGAGCGTATTTGGTTGTAATGGTCTAAGTTGTGACTGCTGAGCAGTTGTGGTTGAAAGGTTTAAAAAAAAATTATGGGGGTTGGTATATTTTCATATGCTAAGTTTTGATTGATGTGTTTATGTTAGGTGAACGGAGCAGGTTCTGAAATTTCTAGGCTTTTAGGCTATATTTGCTTCAAGGAAAATATACTTGTGAAAAATGCATTCTGATTATACTCTATTTGGCATTGGAGAGCATCTCAATGCATTGGAAAACAATTTATATGTTTTTTTTTATGTATGGGTTTTGAGGAAAACATTTCCCAAAAAAATATCATCCTAGAAGAAAACATAGCCTTTATATATTGTTGGTTCTTTCTGCTGTCCATTTAATTCTTCTGTTCTGCTTAATGACACTTTTATCTTTTTTTTTTTAACAGGGCTCTGAAGGATGGAGTCTATATGCTGGTAATTATCTGCAGAAAGATTCTCCATGTACTGTTATCATTACCTCATAAATAGGTATCCAATCTCTCATTTATAAAAAAGAAGGAAGGAGATTAATATGCCTCTCCGATTCCTAAGGCATAACCACACAATCTTTACGTCATCCGGTGGCGTGATTTTCATTTGTTTTTATACATGTCTGGACAGGTACTCACTTGCCCACCGACCCATCTCTATATAGTAAGTTGCCCGCTTGTAGCAAGTTTTTACAGGATGAAGCTAAACTTTCCAAGGGACATCCTCCTATGTCAAAGAAATCTTACACAGTAGTTGAGAATGTTAATAATCTGAACGAATTAATGTTTCATTGATCTTCTCTAATCAAATCAAACACAACAATATATAACAAGTATGAGAAATGATTTACTTACTTGAATGGAATCCTATCTTGTTCGTGATGAAATGATGATTCCCGTTATGATGTCTAATTTAGTGATGGATTGATTAGTATGTCCCATAGAACAGAATTGGTGTTATTTATAGACTTATGGGGACATAAGAGAAGGGACATGACTAAACAATGTGTCCTTTCGTTTATTATGAAAGAAGAGACACAAATGAATGGTCACGTCTTATTAATTTATTTAATTAATAGACATCTAACGGGAAATTAATTATCCCCTTGTAATAATTACACTTACTCCCATCAAGTAATGTTTAGGTAAGACGGGGACACATTATATCATATTGGCGTAATTACTATTAAAATAGTAATAATTGAATAAGTATTATGAATGGTCCTAAGGCCACATATAAAATGGCCGAGTGAATTATAAATGAAATATTCCAACATTCTCCCACTTGGCCGAGTGACCATTTATGATGAGTATTCATAAGTCTTGCCAAAATTAATACCCATCAAGTTTCATATTAAAGTCATAGCAAAAAGATAAAGTCATTTTGTTGTTATCAACAAAAGACCCCCACCAATTATACTAAAACATTAACATAAAACACTTAGAAAATTTAATGCCAAAATGATGGATATATACAATATCAATTTGTATATATTTGTCTATAGAGAAATAAGTGCATGCATACATTAGTATAGACAAAATACTTAAGACATTTGAGGAAGTTTACAATAATATGCTTTCATATAAGATCTCTAATAAAACCCGTCTTCGTTACGAGCTCTTGGAAGACTTTGGGTGGTAGACCTTTCGTTATTGGATCCAGAAGCATATCATGAGTGATAATCTAATCGACACAAAGGATGATTTCCTCTACTTGTTTATGTATGAACAAGAACTTTGTGTCAAGATATAATTCGGCACCACTCGAACTCTTATTGTTCGAAGAAGTAATGGTTGCAAAATTATGACATTATATATTCAATGGTCTCGATATGGAGTTCACGACTTTATGTCCATTAATTATGATTCTTAATAACATTCAATGGCAAGTTGCATATTAGACAGCAACGTACTCCGCCATCATGGTTGAGGTCGTTGTCAATTTTTCATTATGACTTCTCCACGAGATAGGTCAGAATGCTGACATAAAGATATACCCCAAGTAGATTTCTCATCATCTTTGCATTTCGCAAAGTCGGAATCCGAAAATTCAATCAATTCTAAGTTATCAGTTCTTCTATTAGTTAGTTTGTATTCATTTGTCCCTTGAAGATATCATAGAACTTTCTTTGCCACTTTTCAATGATCTAAACCGAGATTATGTTGATACCGGTCTAACATTCCATCAATATAAGCGATATCGGGATGAGTACAAACTTGAGCATACATTAGGCTTCCAACTATATAAGCATAAGATATCATTCTCATTTGTTCCTTTTCTACCTCTGTTTTCGGGCTTTGAAAAGAACCGAAAACATCCCCTTTAACTACAGGAGTGCGTAACTGAGGAAAGCAATGTTGCATGTTATAACGTGCAAGAATATGTTCAATGTAAGCCTTTTGAAACAGTCCTAATGTTCCAGAAGCTTACCTAAAATCTTTCATGTCGAAATACCATGAAAGTAAGCGCTTTGTTTCATGCAACAAATTCAGACTGTTACTTGCCAAAAGAATATCATCAACATAAAGGACAAGTATGGAAAAATTGCTCCCACTCATTTTGAGGTAGGTACATTGATCCACTTAATTTTACTTAAGCCATTCTTCCTAATGACTTCGTCAAATTTCAAGTACCACTGTCGTGATGCTTGTTTTACCCCCGTATATGGATTTCTTTAATTTACATACGAGGTGTTCTTGACCATTTGACTTAAAACCTTCTGGTTGTGTCACAAACACGTCTTCATGTAAATCACCACTTAGGAAAGTTGTTTTAACGTCCATTGATGTAACTCTAAATCAAAATGGGCTACTAAGACCATAACGATCCTTACAGAATCTTTTTTAGTGTAGCCATTACCAACCAAACGTACTTTATATCTTTCGACGTTTCCATTCAGGTCTAACTTGGTTTTAAAAATTCACTTGCATCCTACGGGTTTTACCCCCATAGGTAGTTCAACAAGTTCCCAAACGTCATTCTTTCACATGGAGTCAAGCTCGTCTATCATAGCTTCAATCCATTGAGTGGATTGGTCACTACTAATGGCCTCGTTATAAGAGGTTGGATCATTATTCTTCCCTATATCCAAATCAGCTTCACTAAGATAGGTTATGTAATCATCGAAGTTAGCAGGTCTTATAGACCTCGATGAACATCTTAATGAAAATTCGGGTTCTTGAGGTTCTGTCGTAACTTTAGGGATTTGCTTCTCCAAAATTTGTGTGCCTTCATTTAATGGCACATCTAGAGCAACATTATCCTCGGGAGTTATACTAGGTGGGCCAATGTTATTAACAAAGGTGCAATTGGATAAAGAGGTAATGGGGTCGTTGGGCCCTCCTCTTGCACTTCTTGTTAATTAACATCATGATGTGTATTTCTCCCACTAACATTAGAGTTCTCTAAGAACTCAGCATGACGAGTTTCAACTATGCGACTTGAATAAGAAAGGGCAATAGAATTTGTATCCTTTTCATCGTTCTGGATACCCAATAAAGAAACTAATGACTGTTTTCATGTCATGCTTTCTTTGTTGAGAGGATTATATCTCAACTTCGGCAGGGCATCCTCAAACGTTTACATATCTCAAGCTCGGTTTCTTTCCTAACCACATTTCATAAGGTGTCTTAGGAACATATTTGAAAGGAGTCCTATTGAGTATATGAAATGTCCCCTTTTAATGCCTTGATCCATAAGAATTGAGGTAAGGTGGTATTGGTGGACATTCTTCTTATCATATCCATGAGAGTCCTATTCCTCCTTTCAGCAACATCGTTCTGTTGAGGAGTACTTGGCATGATAAATTGGTTCACAATCCCTTGTTCTTGACAAAAATCAAATAAGGGACTAAGAGCCTGACCAATATGAGTATGCCGATCATAATATTCACCCCCTCTATCCGATCTCACTACCCTTTCTTTACGGTCGAGTTGATTTTCAACATCGACCTTAAAGGCTTTGAACATGTCAAGTGATTCAGATTTCTCTTTAATTACATACAAATACATATAACGTGAGTGATCATCTATAAAAGTGATAAATGACTTATGTCCAGAAATTCTGCCAGGAAAAGGTCCACAAATATCTGTGTGTATAAGTTCTAAGAAATTAGAACTCCTTGTGGCACCTTGTTTATTTCCCTTTTCCATTTTGCCTTTAAGGCATTCCACACATGTCTCAAAATCATTGAAGTTGTGAATTGGTAATACTCCATCCCTCACGGGTCTTAACATTCTGTCTCGTGATATATGACCCAAACGTTGATGCCATAACATGGATGAGGTTTCCAAGCCTCATTTCCTTTTAAGAGAGTTTTCATTGACATTATATGACAACAATGATTTTGAGAATTGGTCGTCTTGGTACATTTTATAAAGTTTTCCATCCAAATAATCATGACCAACAATGTCGAAATCTAAGCTAATGGTGACTTTATTATTACCAAATGTCACATAATATCTATCATTGTCTAACTTATGTACAGATACTAGATTCCGAGTCATTCTCGGCACTAAAGAGTATCATATAAGTTAATGCAATGACCACTTCGCATAACTAATTGCAAAGTTCCTAGGGCTTCAACACTTAAATCATCACCATTCCCGACATTAATGGTTCTTTGATTTCTTTCCAATCTCTGGATTGTATGGAATCCCCGTAAAGAGTTTGTAACATGTACCATAGAACCAAAATAAATCCAGCATGTGTTTATACGAAAATATATTAAAGGACTCATAAATCATAAATAGATGGTTACCCTTCTTCTCTAGCCACTTCTTGAATTTTGGGTAGTCTCATTGGCTATGCCCTTTCTGATGGCAGAATTTACAACGAAAAGGACCCTTAGGAGCGGTAGAGCCAAAAGCCGCATTTGCATTTGTTTGCTGGATCTTTGAGCTCTCTGTGATATTATACTTGCCTTTCTTTTTCTGGTGTGTGGTTGTCACATAAGCAACATCGGGCTTTTCAATCTTTAAGCGCTCTTCCTCTTGTACGCACATGGCTACAAGTTCACTCATTTGCCATTTCTCCCTTTAGGTGTTGTAATTTATTTTAAAGGAATCAAATTGTGCGGGAAGAGGGGTCATAATAAAATGCACTAGAAAACCCTCACTTATCTCCATGTCCATACCTTTAAGTTTATGGGCCATGTCGGTCATCATCATGATGTGCTCACGCACACCGCTCACACCATCGTACTTTGTCATCAACATTTTTAGAATCGAAGTACTCGCATGTGCCTTGATAATGCCTTTAAATTGCTCTTCAACGGAGTTCATATACTCTTTAGCATATTCTGAGTCAGGTATGGCTCCGCGAATGGCAATCGAGAAGGAATTCTTTATGACCATGAGAGACATTTTGTTTGATCACTCCCACTGTTCATACACTCATTTTTGCTCTTGTGAACTTTCATCAGTAAGTGGAGCGGGAGGATCATGCCTCAAGGCATAGTCTAAACTTATCATTCCAAGGGTTAATTTGACAGTATCTCGCTATGAAGAGAAGTTAGTGTCAGTTTGAGGTTAAATCCCATGGTTAAGACATAGATTAGTCGCTGAATCAATGCAATTAAGACATAAATTTAGAAGAACAAAAGTGAAATATGACATATAGGGGCTATCACATAAAGTAAGCAAATTTCAGCATATTGAAGATAAAGTCTATCATAACACCAAAATAGACTAAACTAAGGTCCTACTTGAGTGTTGGATTGGCGTTGGCTATGTCCAACACTCAAGTGTTACGGACATTTTTTTTATTGATAAAATACGACATACAAATATTATAAGTTACCTTTGGGCAAAATATAATATTCATATTAATTAGGCTAAAATACGCTATAGGAATATTAATAATACGCCATACGAATATTATAAGTCACCTTTGGGTAAAATATAATATTCATATTAATTAGGCTGGAAAATAAACTCTCACTATGTGACACAGAACGACTTGCCTTTGGGTTTGCCGTTTTGCTACACACTTTAGCACACAATAATGGCTTAGTTAGATTGATATCATATTTAAATATTTTCCGTTGGGATAATTATTCAAATATGATATAAGCATTAGTCATAATTCATAAAATCAAACAAAGTAAAAGTGAAATAAAATAATTCAGGGCCTCATGATTTGAATTTCATACATACAGAGTATGTAAGTTAAATGCTGAGTAATGGCATAGCCGACTTAAGAGCATGATAACATCAGGCTTTGGTTCATTTTCGTTTTGCTTTATTTTGTTTGTAATCTATCCTTTGAAACATAAGTACTCCATATCAAATCAAAATATTCTACGTTTAGCATTATAAACAAAAGGAAATACACGTCAACATTGAATTCCGTTTTTGGAACACAGTTATTATCCGAAAACAGTGATTGCTCATTCAATAATCATCACATACAGTTATTATCCAATTAATTATTAATTATCATCATGAACATCGACGGGACATGAGTGCAGCAAGAGAATAATATGGCGTCTATGTCTATCTGAGCGCCGATATCATATCCAAAATCTCAATTTTAACATAAATTAAAAAATCAAAGAAATACTTTAACATAGAAGAAAATTTCGGCTTTCAGTTTGGAGAAGATACACAAACCCAAAAGATATGATTTCAAGTTGAAATCATATGAGAATAATTTGTAATTCGCTTTCTTAACCGTCAAACTCATTTGATATTCGCCGAATTTTAGATCAAGTTTAATCTTGTGATCAACACAGGAAACGAAGGTTATAACACATTTAGTTGGTTCGAATTGATTAAGAGAACGGCTCTGATACCACATGTTAATAATCTGAACGAATTAATGTTTCATTGATCTTCTCTAATCAAATCAAACACAACAATATATAACAAGTATGAGAAATGATTTACTTACTTGAATGGAATCCTATCTTGTTCGTGATGAAATGATGATTCCCGTTATGATGTCTAATTTAGTGATGGATTGATTAGTATGTCCCATAGAACAGAATTGGTGTTATTTATAGACTTATGGGGACATAAGAGAAGGGACATGACTAAACAATGTGTCCTTTCGTTTATTATGAAAGAAGAGACACAAATGAATGGTCACGTCTTATTAATTTATTTAATTAATAGACATCTAACGGGAAATTAATTATCCCCTTGTAATAATTACACTTACTCCCATCAAGTAATGTTTAGGTAAGACGGGGACACATTATATCATATTGGCGTAATTACTATTAAAATAGTAATAATTGAATAAGTATTATGAATGGTCCTAAGGCCACATATAAAATGGCCGAGTGAATTATAAATGAAATATTCCAACAGAGAACCATTATACGGATTCAGCCCGGGCGATCAGAGGGAGGATATTCGTTCCAGTATAAGCAGTTTATCTCTACTAAAGAGGGTAAGTGAGACATAGCCCAACATCTTTTAGCCAGATTAGGATTCGTTGTGTGAAGCATGATGCCATGAAACAAGAATTCGAATAAGGCTAATATATGAAAGATGGTAGATTTCTATTATCCTATTATATTGGATTTCAGAATGAATATTATTTGACTTTCTCCTTCTCTCGAAACCTCTCTATTTTTCATTTCTTTAAAAGTATGTATGTACGTAGTTCAAGTTTTCGCCTGATTCACCAAGTATGTTTGTTTTGTACGCCTGAAGCTAATGGAAATGGAGAATCTTACATTTTTAACCATGTATAATAACAATCTTCAGATCAGAATTCATAGAATGTTTATTGCAGTATCTCAAGCTAAATGCCAAGCCCTCCTAAGCCATTCAAAAAAACTAACTATTAAGTGTTGTTTTTTTGAAAAATCAGACCTCATAGAGAGATAAAAATCTCAATAAAATCATCTGAAATCACCAAGTGTATTGTGATTATTTATTAAGAGAGGTGCTGAAAATTGACTTGTTCTGAATTTCCATTTCAAAATTAGTATTATGGTTAGTCTCATAAATAAGTGAAATAATTAGTGTTACTATTTGGCTTGTAATTCATTTTGCGTTTTGTAATGAATCTATATGAAGTGTGGTGTAAAAGTTGGCATGTTGTGTTTAATAGAAAATTGTATTTGCATGGCATCATACCTAATATGAATTATATTTATGTTTCTTGTTCTTTATTATCATGTTGTATTTTGTAATATTAATATTTAGAATATTTTCTTTGTTTAAGCTACTTGAATTACATTGTTTAACCCAATATTTTCTTTGTTGCCAAACTCCAGACCTAGCTAAGTGACGGAATGAGTCAGTAATGCTTCACCTTCTCCTTAGGGTTCCAATCAATGAATGAAGAATCTGGTCGGTATTTTCTTGTTCTTTGTACGACACCTCGGTCAACTCAAGTAACTTCTGTAATTTTAATTCTTAACATTTTAACTAAAACCTAATTTATTTGCTTGGTTATATAGTTAACTAAATCAATTTGTTTCACTTCATGATTAACAAGAATCTCTCGCTTCTATCTTTATGCAGTGGAGTGGTTGGGGCGAGATTATACATTGTGGACATGATTTTGAACGGGTGTATGTTTACATAATCTGATTTGTAATTCATAAATGTTAGTGTACACTTTGCAGGTGATGACTTCATTCTGTGCAACAGAAAATATGATGTCTAAGTATTAGAAGAAATGTGAAGGCCGTGTGAAGAATGGTGTAAAAGTTAGACTTGTTTGCGTTTTGTTGTTTATTACTTATGAATTATGTAGTATGTACAAGTTCAACAACAATGTAGCTTGGAGTTTGACATTAATATTATGCTTTAAATGTTCAATGTATGTTTTGAGATTTATTGACTTTATTATAGTTTATGGGATCAGTTATTATTGAATTGGAATTTCTTAAATATAATTGAGAAGGATTTTCTAAATTACCCATGAAATGGAATGCTGAAATAGTGCAAAAAAAAAGTGATACCAAAGTGTCACTAAAGTATGGTGTTGCTTGAATGGAAAACATAATTATGTGATACCGTGGTGTCACTATAATATGTGATGTAAAAGTGTCGCCGAATAATTATGTCACCTATGTATCACTAACTAGTGATACTATAGTGTCACAATTTTGTGACACTTCTAGTGACACTTAAAAAGTGTCACTAGATCCTACTTTCATTGACACTTTTTAGTGTCACAGAAACTTTCAGTGACACTAATTTGGTGTCACTGTAGGGCATTTTTCTAGTAGTGATACTATTGGTCTAGACTTAAGATTTCAACTTCTGATGTCCGACTTTTTTCCAGAGGTAAGAATAATTATGAGTATAAAATTGCTCCTACCTATAAAGTAAAAAGTGTTCACAAGTTCAACATTAAAGCACTAATCAATAGTAAAGTAATAGCATAGAGTAATCATATGCTAAAAACCAATAGACCATCTTATTCCCCTCAATAGAGAAAAGACCGAGTCCATGAGAATGATCGAAGAGATCTTTATATTTTCATGTAAATCATAAAAGATTAATTTATGTAATATTGTTTTTTAAAGAAAACCATATATATCATACAAATGAAAAGGATCATAAAGGATGGTTATTTACAAAATCAAATCTAACTCCAACCCAACTCATATACTAATTTAAACAAGGCCAAATATTGAATTAGTAAACTCAATGCTTTTTTCACTAAATCTATCCGTTTTTTCTTATAGTTGATCACACCTCTTTCTAATGTATTTATCAAGAGTTGTATTTAGATTTTACAGACATGTTAGCTATTGTAGGTTTACGTGTTAACATTTAGACTTCTGAGTTTAATATTTTGAAATGGCAGCGGCGATCTGGGCGGTGGCGGCAGTTGCCACAAAAAACATGTGTTTACTCATAGAATCATCAATGGCAAATAAAAAAGCATCTTTTAGTGACGGGAAATCACAGTCGCGGGAAATCAGTGACGAGAAATCACTGTCGCAATACATTGCTTGAAAATTTTTCCTATGAAGTATACAGTCGGACTGTAAAACAAATCAAGAAGATTTATTTTGCTGACGGATAAAATTGTCAGTATATTTGTCATATAAATAAACTATACATACAATATTGAATGTCGAAAAAGTATCATTCCCTGAATAGAAACAACAACTGGTTTCCAGTTATGTGCCATTCATTTAGTTCTAACTTATCAATTCTTATACTCTCATTCTATACCTACATACATTCCCCAACAATATCCCAACCGATATCAACTTCGTATTGATCTCCTTACTTTTAACAAATATTGCGATTTATGTTTTCATTCAATTCAATTAAACTCCTTACATGCATATAATATAACCCGATAAACAACAATAATACTACACTCAATGCACAAATTGACATTCAATATATTGCATAACATTCAACCCCTAATAAAATTCAATGCAACATGTAAACAAAGATAATTTCAATAACTAATCTACGGCGAAGGAAAATTTAGTCATGGGGGGCCTTCCTCAACTGGCATTAAGGCTCTGGCAGTTCATGAAGAAGACTCAGAGGTGGATATTTCGGCTCATGCAGAAGGGTGTATGGCGAAGAAGAGAAAGGCTAGTGGAAGCGACTGTGGTAGGAAGCTCAGAGGACGGGATATGGATATCTGCTTTTTCAAAAAAAAAAAAAAAGGGTAGCGGCGGTTCTGGTTCCCAGGACCGCCGGGATCAATGAGTTGTCTAAGTTGAAACTGTCGGGAGCTTGGCAACCCAGCGACAATTCAAGTGCTTGTGGACGTGGTTCACCAAAAGCAGCCATATGTGGTTTTTTCAATGGAAACTTTTTCTGATGATACCAGGGTTGCAGGTGTGATGCGAAAGATTGGCATGGACCATTTTTCGCAGTGGCGAGTGAGGGCCATAGTGGAGGTCTTGCCTTGTTCTGAAGAGAGGGCATGTGAGTTCAAATCGTCGGGTCTTCTAACCACTTTATTGACTCGCAGATTAGTTTGGATGAGGGAGCACCCTTTTGGCGCTTTATGGGGTTCTATGGTTGCCCGGAGAGAGTCAAAAGACAGGAACCTTGGGAATTACT